CACCGTAGCCGGGGGTCCGGGACGGCAGGATGGTGCCCGTCGGGGTGCTGGGGCTGCTCCTGTGCGTGCAGCTCTGTGCGGGTGAGCGCCAGGGTGGGGGGCAGCCGGGGGCGGGGGGGCAGCTGTGGGGCAGGGACCCCCATCCATCCCTGGGCCGTGGTCAGCACCCACCTTGCTACAGGCACCGAGGAGCTGCGGCTGGTGGGTGGCGGTGGGCGCTGCGCTGGCCGGGTGGAGGTGAAGCACAATGGCAAGTGGGGCTCCGTCTGCGTCTACGACTTCGACTGGGATGCCCGGTGGGCTACCGTGGTGTGCCGGCAACTGGGCTGCGGCCGGGTGGCCAAGGCGTCCTCCTACACCCCGTTCGGGCAGGGCACTGGCCAGATTTGGCTCCAGCCCTTCTTCTGCCGAGGCACTGAGGCCAAGCTGCAGGACTGTCCCCATTTCGGCTGGGGCAAACACTTCTGTGGCCACAAGCTTGACGTGGGGGTGACCTGCACAGGTGAGTTGGTGGGGGGGGATTGGTCGTGCCGGGACACCTGCCCGGGGTGTCCCTGGGCAGGGCTGATGCCGTGCCGGTGCCCCGGTGCAGATGCAGTGGAGCTGCGGCTGGCGGCTGGTGAAGGGCCCTGTTCCGGGAGGGTGGAGGTGAAGCTGCAGGGACAGTGGGGCTCGGTGGGAGATGAAAACTGGGACATGGACAACGCCGAGGTGGTGTGTCAGCATCTGGGCTGCGGCTCCGCCGCCCGCACCTACTTAGCCAACACCCGCTTCATCAGCGGGGACAGCGTCATCAGCCTGGCTCTAGTCGACTGCCGCGGGGACGAGGCCGCTCTCTGGGACTGTGAGATCCGCGGCTGGGGACCCTACGAAGGTGTCCATGATTTTGACACCGCTGTCGAATGCCAAGGTAGGAGCCAGGTGGCAATGGGGCAGTGGGAGACATGCTGGTCCTGGCTCATCATCCCTCTCTGCTGGCCCCTGCGCCTCTCCCGGCAGGGTTTGCCCGGTTGGTCGGCGGTGACAGTGCCTGTGCCGGGCGGCTGGAGGTGCGGCAGGGCCAAGCCTGGACCAGTGTCTGCGAGGACAGCGTGGACGTCGAGGTCGCCCGGGTGGTTTGCCGGGAGCTGGGCTGTGGCGCGGTGCTGGCTGTGCCCGGCCCCGGCCGGTTTGAGGCGGGAACTGGGCCGCTCTGGCAGGCAGGGTTCAAGTGCACTGGCACCGAGACTCTCCTCGCCACCTGTGCCCGGCAGCCACCCCGCAGCCAGGACTGCGCCGGCCCCGCCAGCATCATCTGCTCCTGTAAGTGCTGGGGACACCGAGGGGTGTCGTGGGGGGGGGTGGGGTGTCCCCACACTATTGTTCCCCCTGCCAACACCCTTTCTCTGCCACAGCCTACACAGGTTTCCGGCTAGCAGACAACAGCTCGGACTGTGCCGGGCGGGTGGAGGTGGAGGTAGGGGGGACATGGGGGTCCCTCTGTGCCACCGGCTGGGACTTGCCTGATGCCCATGTCCTCTGCCACCACCTTGGCTGTGGCCACGCTGCCACCGTGCCCCCGGGAGGCTCCTTTGGCGGAGGGGATGGGCCACTGCGGCAGGATACCTTCAGCTGCAGCGGGAGTGAGCGGCACCCGGGCGAGTGCCCCACGTCAGTGCTGGGGGAGCCCGCCTGCCCCCCTGGCTATGCTGCTGCCGTCAACTGCTCAGGTTTGTATGGCACCCGCTGGGAAAAGCCTCAAGGGGCTTTTGGGACACCTCAAAAATTGGGTGCAGAGGATGCAGGGCCATTTCAGGGCCCCACCATCCACTCGGGGGCCTGATGCTGCTGGTGCCACGGCACGGCTGGGGGTTTTGCAGGTGTTGCTGAGCCCCTGCGGCTGGTGGAGGGGGAGAGCTGGTGCGATGGGCGGCTGGAGGTTGCTGCAAGCCCCGGGGTGTGGACACATGTGCTGGTGGGGCTAGAGGACACCTGGGATGCCAGTGTGCTGTGCCAGCAGCTGGGCTGTGGCGTGCCAGAGAAAGTCTACACTGTGCCGGGCTCAGGCACCGCAGGGCTGCTGTGTGCTGGCACCGAGGAGAACCTGGCCCAGTGCAACATCTCGGGGACGGCCACCGCACCCACCAGCAGCCCCGAGGAGGTGGCCATCGTCTGCTCGGGTGAGTGTCCAGGGAAGGGCTGGGGGATGCCAGCACCGTGAGCGGCTGCCACAGCTTGATGCCCTCACGGTGCCCCACAGGCAGCCGGCGGGTGAGGCTGGCGGGCGGCCCTGGGCGCTGCGCTGGGCGGGTGGAGGTCTACATCAACGGCACTTGGGGCACCGTCTGCCAGGAAACCTGGGACATGCTGGACGCCGCCGTTGTCTGCCGCCAGCTGGGCTGCGGAACGGCACTGGCAGCGCCCAGCTCGGCTCGCTTCGGTCCCGGCACGGGGCCGCTGTGGCTGGATGCTGGTGGCTGTGTGGGGACCGAGGCGTCTCTCTGGGACTGCCCGGCCTTGGCACGGCATGACTGCCAGCGCGGTGGCGGGGCGGGTGTCGTCTGCTCAGGTCAGTGCCATGAGCCCTAAGATCAGGGACTAGGGAGACCATCCCCCTTTTTTGGGGGAGGGCGGTCCTGGCCTGGCTGTGCCGTGACCCTCCCTGCACTCCCTTGCAGAGCAGCTCTCCCTGCGGCTGGTGGGCGGCAGCAGACGGTGCAAGGGACACCTGGAGGTGCTCTACAATGGCACCTGGGGCCGCGTGTGCTCCAACGGCACCAGCCCTGCCACTGCTGCCACTGTCTGCTGGCAGCTGGGCTGTGGGAACAGGGGGAGTCTGGCAGCTGTCCCCACCCAGAACCCGGCCCCTGCCTGGCTGGCCTGGGTGGGCTGCGAGGAGGGGGCCCGCTCACTTTGGCAGTGCCGCTCAGCACCCTGGCACCTGCAGGCCTGCAGCCCCGGCAGGGACACCTACATCACTTGTGACAGGGACAGTGACAGCACAAGTGGGATGCCCACTCCATCCCCAGGGAGCCGCTGCGCAGACGGTGCCACTTGCACAGGTAGCTCTACCCATGCTGACAGCCCCCCCGTGCCGGGTTAGCTGGGGACCCCTTCCTCATGCCACCCGGCAATGTCCCCGCAGATGTCCCCAGCACCACCACCCCAGCAGCAGTGGCGGGGACCATGCCAGTGCCCACAGTCCTGTGCGTGGTCCTGGGGACGCTGCTGTGCCTGGCCCTGGGTGCCCTGGCCATGCAGGTGTGCCGCACCTGGGCTCAGCGCCGAGGTGGGTCCCAGTGGGTGGGTGCCGGGACACAGCCGCTTTGGGTGTGCTGGGGGTCCTGCTCTGCATGGCAGTTCAGCAGGTGACCCCCGGTGCCACCCCCATGCCCTGGTTGAGCACTGCGTGTCATTTCAGGCCCTGGAAGAGCCGCCGATGCCACCTCGGACGCGGTCTACGAGGAGCTGGACTACACCCTGATGCCGGAGTACCAGGAGGTGCAGACTCGCTCAGGTCAGTGCAGCCCCACCATGCCCAGTGGCTCTCCCCAAAACGAGGGGGCTCAGCCCCACAGCTCCACCACAAGCACTGGCTCGTCCCCGTGGCGTGGGGGTGTCCCCCGGCCCCACTGCTGCTCACAGTGCCGGCTCCAGCCACCCCCAACACCCTGTCCTCCCTCTGCCAGGCTCCCCATCAGAGGGGTCAGGGATGAAGCTGCCGTATTACACCGGGGACAGCATGGAGGAGAGTGACCCCAAGGCAGCCCCAGGTAGGGACACAGGCGCAGGAGGCCTGGGGAGCGGGGATGGGGCCAGGCGCTGAGGTGGGGAGCAGAGGGGACACTGTCTCCCCTCACCTGGGTAAGCCCAGCTCAGCTGCAGCTCTGATTAGCACACAGCAAAGCATCACCCTTCCATGATGATTAATCCCCACTGCAGCTCTGGCTGAGGACTTGCAATCCCAGTGCCACCAGTACATCCCCGCTGGCATGGCCGGACCGGGGTGGCACAGCCAGACTCCTGCCATGCCCTCCAGTTCACCCCCAACCCCCCCCTTTTCCTGTCCCAGACTCCCCTGCCCATCACAGCCCCCCAGATGGCTATGACGATGCTGCAGCCGTGCTGGAAGGGTCCCCCACTCCTGGCATCAGGGTTATCTCCGAGGGGGTGGAATGGAGGAGCGGGGGCTGTGTCCCACCCACAGGTAAGAGGGGCCACAGCTGTCCTGGCCCCTGGAGAGCCACCTCTGAGAGGCTCGGCTGCGGTGGCAGGAGGGAAGCAGGCAGCAAATCCAGGGGGGCTGCTGTAAGACCCCAGCTGGGGTTTGGCAGGAGGGACATGAAGCAGTCCCCCTAAGGCACCGGCCTTTCCTGTCCCCAAAGGTGGGAGCTGCCCCCCCCAAAGTCCCCCAGGAGCCACACGAGACTCTCTGGTAAAACCCCCAGGGGACACAGACTATGATGATGCTGGAATCAGCACCCTGGGGACATCACTGTGATGTCTGGGGTCACCCCAGGCCACACTGCAGGAGTCCCTGGGGACATGCATGCAGGGTGGTGGGGCTCTGTCCCCAAGATGGGGTGGCCCTGGCCACACAGGTCACCTCTCCCCACCCAGGATTGCAGCACAGCAGAACAGCTCCCGCGTCTCCCACAAGCAGTACTGCAGGGATATTTTTTTTTATTATTATTTCACTGTGAATTTCTCTTTTTTCTATTAAAACCCAAAACTGGCTGGAGAAGCACTTCCAGGGTTGGCACCTCGCTCCTGGGTACATCAGCCATCCTGTGGGGATGTGGGGCAGGAGCTGGACCCACAGACGCATCCCCAGCCATGGCGGGGACACATGGGGAGGGTGGGGAAGAGCACGGTGAGGGAGGATTCCTGGAACTGGTCCCAGGGCCTTTAGTTGGCATTAGCAAACACCCACAATTCCTGCCGACACATGGGGGGAGACAGGAGAGGGAAGGACCCGGACCAGCCAGATGCAGGCAGAACCTCCTTCCGTGTGCCTCCATGCATGGGGCTGGCTCAAACCTCCTCCAACTTCAGCAGCAGTGAGAGCTGGGCTAGAAATGGCTCCGGTGGTTGCAAGGATCAAGAAGGGGACCTCTCCTAAAGGAGGGGAGTGCCTTCCTGCCCCCTGCCCCCCCCGCACCTGGCAGGACCCCGCGGTGGAAGGGCAGCCGGGCCATGGCCCCCACCTGTGGCATGTCCTGCTCGAGGAGGTACCCAATCTTCAGGTCAGGCTTCAGTGCCCGGACTGCGGCCAGCTCCCGCAGCACTTCCTCGTTTAATCCAGATGTGGTCAGTCTTTAAATAGAAGAAGAAATGGAAAAAAGGTGTTAAAAAAAACCCTAAAAAACCCCAACCTGTGCTTTCCCGAGTGCTGGGATGCCGGTATCCCCCTCCCTGCCCTGCAGCATCCAACCCCGGGGTGCTGGTGCAGAGATGGTGGGTGGGGAAGGGGCACCTTACCCCAGGGCCCGCAGTGGGCAGGCGGGATGCCGGAGCTGCCGGCAGAGCTGCAGGACGCCATCGGCTCCCAACTCATTGTCACTCAGGTCCAGGCAGGCAAGGCCGGGGCTCTCCACCAGCCCAGCAGCCAGGGCTCGGCAGCAGGCACCCGTCAGCCGGCAGCTCCCCAACCTGTGGGAGCAAGACGAAGGAGGACGTGGGGTTTGAGGTGCTCCAGGTGGGAAGGAGGGAGCCCCAGCCACCCCTGCGGGCCCTTACCGCAGTGTCCGCAGCCGGCAGGAACGATGCCGGAGCCCCTCACACAGCAGCTGCACACCGGCATCATGCAGCCCCTCACTGAAGGATAAATCCAGCTCCTCCAGTTGCGGGCTTGTGCCCAGCACGGTGGCGAGGTCCTGGCAGCAGGCGCTGGTGAGGCGGGAGTACCACAGCCTGCCGGGGACACCGGGAAAGACCTTCAGAGCCAATCTGAGCACCCCGTCAAGTGCCACCCACCATGGTGACAGTCCCCACCCTGCTGCTTTCAAGCTTCTCGCCCTGGGAGAGGGAGACAGAGGGATGATGCCACCCCAGAGGGACTTTTTGTGGTGCCTCCCCACCCCGTGGGTTTGTGTGCCGGGGTCGCTCACCGCAGGACGTGCAGGCGGCAGCCAGGCTGCTGCAGCCCCCTGCAGAGCAGGCGCACACCGCCGTCGCCCAGCGTGCTGTCGCCCAGCTCCAGCCGGGCCAGGCTGGGGTGTTTGGCCACCAGCGCCGCCAGCTCCGCGCAGCAGCTCTCCGACAGCCCGCACCAGCGCAGCCTGCGGGGAGAGGCACAGAGAATGGGGTGGGGGGAGGCTCATCACACCTACCCCACAGCCAATCAGTATGGAGAGACCACACCCACCCACCCCACAGCCAATCAGCATTAAGGGCTGTAGGGTGGCTGGGTGTGGTCTAATTAGCATGGAGAAACTGCACTCATCCAACCATTGCAGGGCCAGTCAGCATAAAGGGACCACACCCACCCACCCATCATATGGCCAATCAGCATGGAGGGGCCACACCCACCCACAGCCAAAGGGGGCTCAGACCCACCCCCCAGCCGCTGGTGCTCCCCAGGAGCAGCGGGGCACTGCGGGGGGGTGACTGTGCCCCAGTACAGCCCCTGGGGCAGCACCCACCCACTCCACCCCCTGCTTTGGATGCCCCCACCTGCATCCCAGAGCCAGCCCGGGCTGGCCAGGCCTCGGCCAGCGCACCCACCACCCCATGCCAACAGCAGCACAGTGGCCACCATTTTGGCTCAGTGCCGAGCTCTCCTACCGGAGCGCCTGCAGGTTGGTGCCCGGGTGCTGCAGTGCCTGGCAGAGCAGGTGGATGGGGGAGTGCAGCTCCTCAGCGAGGGGACAGGGACATCCTTCGGCTCCTGCGGCACTGGAGCTGCAGGGAGACAGAGTCCCAGGGGGCACAGGCAGCCCTCGCTGGCACTGGGAGCTCCTGGCTTCAACACAAGCGCACAACACCCCAAGCAGAGCTTGCCACCAGTTCACGGGGATTCTCTACACAAGGGTCCTCCATGGCTTTGGAGATGCAAAGGATCATGAGTGTAACTGCTGCAGTCACCTGCTCTCAAGAAAAGCTTGCGGCACACTTAAAATTTCAGCAGCAGGGATCTTCCTTTTGCATGCGAGAAGGGGGATGTGAAACCGGAGCAACACCCGGGCGCGGCTGGGCCTGGTCAGGCTGTGGAAGTTGAGCCAAGATGTTCTATCTCTATCATTCCCACCACATGAAGCCGATGGAGGAGCCTGCATGATCTTTATTCTCCCACAAGAATAAGTAAAATCCTCTGCTGAGGAAATAAACCCTAAGGGAAAGGACAAGCTGGTGTTTGGGTGGAAGCACTGTAATGCCTTGAAAACCATCATTTGGGGTGGAGAAGGAGAAATCTTTGCAATTTTGGGTCACTAGAGCAGAGAGGGGCAGCACTTACCAAGGGACAGCTGTGGCCAGCTCCTCCTTGGGATCCTGCTGGTCGAAGGAGCATCCCCGGAGTGTGATGCAGCTCAGCCCAGCCCACTGCCTGATGCAGAAGGAAAGAGCCATTTGGTCATACAGTGTCAACTTGATGTCCTGTAAGTCTATGTCTGTGAAACGATCCAATGCACTTTGCACAAAGCTATTCTCGTTCATCTCAAACAAAAAGTGGAAAGTGTCCAACTCCGAAACCTTCAGCTCTTGGCTGGGACAGGAGCTGCTTCTGTGCATCCCCTGGAGCCACCTCAGCATGTCTTCCTTGGCTCGTGGTGAAATTCTACACCCAGTGATTTTGTCCATGTACTCTATTGATTTTTGGCTTACCAGACCAAACAGGAACCGCACTGTTAAGTTCAAATCCTTCCTGGAATTGCTATAGCTTTCCAACAACATATTTACGTCCTTCGTGAGAGCCCCTGAGTCACTGACAATTTCCTTACCGTCCTCCAGAACGTAAAACATCGCCGCAAAAAACTCCTGGAGGTGCAGGTGGGTGAAGCTGTAGACGTTCCCATGTTCTACACCTTTCTTTGATATCTTCTCGTTGAGGAAGAGGGGGAGAAGGTCTGGCTGGTCCAAGCCACAGTCCTTGATCTCCTTCTCCTCAAAGAAGACCTTGTGCTTCCAGATGCCATTGGCAGCCAAGGAACAAAGCTTGTGTAGGAACCGCTGGAGGTCCTGTGGGTTATCACTGCTTCTGCACTTCATTAACTGGGAGAGGTAAAACATGCTCATCCATGTGGTGGCTTTAGAGCACTCAATAAAGTTTTTCTTCTTGTAAAGCTCTTGTTTAAGGATGGTACAGACGGTCCAGCTCATGACAGGGATGACACACAAGCTGTAGAGGATCTTGTTGCCTCTGGCAAATCTGAAGGCCACATTGGCTTTATCATTGTTCTCAAAATACCTGTGGAAATATTCTTCCCTCATGGCTGCTGAAAATCCCAGTATTTCTGCATAATACTCACCATCCAGGCACTGTCCCAGGCTTTGAAGACCTGTTGGCCTTGTGGTGATGAGCAAGGAGGACTCGGGAAGAACAGTCTTCTTCAACAGGCTCATGAGGGTGGTTTCCAGTGGCTTCACTTCCATGGGGTCAGAGGTCAGCTCATCTTCGGGCCGAACCAAGGGAAATTCCAGTGCCTCAAAACCATCAAAAATGAACAGGATCTTCTGGTCATCCATGATCTTCTGAACTGGCATTCGGCTGTGAGGGCAGCACTTTGAAACCAGGTCTCCCATGCTGGCTTCCTTGGTAAAGGCAATGTCTTTACAGTCTATGCAGAAGATGTAGTCAAACTGTGTATAGACGGTCTCTTCCGCCCACTCCACCATCACCTTCCTGACCATCATTGTTTTCCCCATCCCCGGGGCGCCTACCAGCACCACGACCTGTGGCGTTTGCCCATCTTCATCGGGTTTAAACAGCGTCTGGGCAGTGACAGTGATGGTGGCTGGTCCGTTGCTGGTGTTGGCACATCCACGGCCTGCACCCACAGCTTCACGCTCGCCTCCACGATCGCTCCGAGGCTTCCTGGCAATGGTCAGGGCGGTATAGCGGCTGCTGACAGAGAGATTCTGCCCAAGACAGGAGTTCACTTCTTTGTACCAGAGGAACGCCTGGACCACATGTTCTCTGTATTTCCGCTTGTACTCTGTGACGGCAAGAAGCAGAGTCAGTCCCAAGCACAGCTGGATTTCTGAGGGGCCCCTAACCAGCCCAACCACACTACCGACACACCAATGGGACACTTGTTTCAACACTCAGGGCTTTTCTAAATCTGGCTGAGGCAGTAAGGACATTATCTGTGAGAATTTAGGGCCCCTGGTCAGTTCGGGGGGGGTCCTTCCCCTCTCTTGGGTCCCCCCATCATCCTGATCCATCAATTCCTGTTTTAACTTCATCCACCCTGGGAGCAAATGCAACTGCTTGGGGCCACCTGCAGCCTCCATCCCCTTCTGCTCATGTCCCTGGGGCCAAAGGCACCATAACGGGGATGCCTCCGGCTTCAAAGCATTACCAAATGTGAGCTCTGCAGAGAAGTCCTTAATCCCCAGCCTGGGAGGAAAGGATCTGCCCAGCGGGCTGCCAGGCAGTGCTGAGAGCTGAAGGCTCTTCTCCAGGTAAAGAGGGAGCCCGGGAGTAAGTGGGGACAGCAAGAGGAGAGGTCGCTTACAGCCCCCATACTAACAGGGTCACAGAGGGACATCTTTGTGTTTCCAGGCTTCCTGGGAAGCCAAAACCTGCTTTTACCAACTTCTACCTGTCTCCAGAATCTCTCAAGGGAAAAAGAGACTAAGAAAAGCAAAATGTACACTGGCTCCCTACCTTTCACTTTCTCATCCAGGAGTTTCTCAGCGAGGTCTCTCTGGTTCATCTCTTCAAACAACCCAATCACTATGTCCATCATGGCATCTTCGCTGTAGTTCTTGCCCATGCAGCTGACAAGCGCACACGGATGGGTGGCCTTTGCCAGTGAATCCTTGGGGATATTCCATACTCCTTCTACGTGAACCTCCAATAACTTGGTCTTAAATTCCTGAAAGTCTTTAAGTGTGAGACCTTGCAGTGCTTGTAAGAGGACGGCTAGTGCACGCTCTTCCCCTGCCATCAAGGGATGTCACCTGAAAATATCCACGGTTAGAAATTACGGCTACACTACAGCAGATGTTTTGGAGCTCAGCACCAAGTTGGTCCTGTACAGCCCTGTTCTTTCTGCGCTGAAAAGGCTGGGGATGAGTCACTCCAGCGTGGCAAGGTCACAAGGGCTGCAGGCGCTGCAGATTCTGTCACTGTGGGCATGTCCCCCTGGAGACAGGAGAGAGAAAAACACCCCAAAAAGCATCCTGGGGGGGTTGTATCTGACTGGGGAGCTGCAGCCCCTCGGGGCAGTCACCCCAGAGAAAAGCCTGGTCCTTCCCCACATCCCCACCTGTGCTGTCCCTCGGTGCGGTGTGGCCGGCCATGCCCCGATGCCCTCACCATGCTGCCAGGTGGCGGGATGGCCGGGCTCTGATGGAAGGGTTCGGGTGCTGCCTGAAAACCCCATCCTGCATACAGGCAGGGTTCGGGTTCTGCCTTAAATCCCCGTCCTGCATACAGGCAGGGTTCTGCTTTTTAACAGCAGCCTGACATCCGGCACACCCTTATTGCTTCCCTGCCACGGGGCTACTTGCCAGCTGGCCACACAAAACCACCTCAATGGGCAATTTAATACCTGAAGGACTCCTGGCAATAAGCCTACAAGGAAGATGCTGTTTTGGGGAAGAAGAAGGGGCTTTAGGGAAGCACACCGATGCTTGCAGACACAGCAGTCCCTCTCCTGACTCTCACCTCCCTGGTGCTGGCAGTTACCCTTCTCCTCACAACAAGTCATGAGTTTGACTGAAAAACCACCGAGCCCCTGAATTTCTAACCCTTACAGAATAACCGCGTTGCTTGGGGTCCCCAACCTTTTACTGGTAAGAAAAGTCACGGAACCTTTTCCTCCTCCCTCTTCGAGACTCCTCATTTCTGATATTACTCTCCTCCTCCTCAGTTCAAGTCTTCTGTGTCTTTAGGAGAAAAGTACCATCCTGCAGCTCTCTTTGAGCAGATCCGGCTGGAATTAGTTTCCTGTAAATTCAGGAAATCAGAGGGAAGCTGCAGTTTCCTGCAGGGATTACTGCCTGCTGCAGCTTTCACCCTGGAGCGAGGGGGACATCCAAGGGAACCCCATCACAGGCAACGTGAAGCTAAATTTAGATGCTTGCAAAAGCAGAGTAGGATAGAGAAATTAAAAATAGCTGCAGGAAATTGAGAATTAGACTGGGACCTGTCAGAGGATTATTGGGGTGAAATGTATGAAAGGGAAAGGAAAAAGGAGCTGGGAACAGCAGTCGCTGTCCCAGTGTAACAGCTATCCCAGAGCCTGTGGGACTGCAAAAATAAAGCGCAGTTGTGGACTGAGCGTGGCATTTCCAGAAATGTTTCAAGCTTTGGATGGAATAAAAATGAAATAGCTCAGTGCTTAGAGCTTGTGCTACACCAGCTTTTGCTCCAACATGTACTAAGGGACCAGTATATGCCCTTCTTGATTGAGCATGTTGTTAGATTGCTCAGCAGATAGGTAAGAAACCAGCAGCATAAAAAGGGATCCAGAAACTGGGAGAAGATGGAGAAGATTTTCCTGAATCAATACAGAATTGCTAAGCTTTCCATCCCACCTGTCCTTTGCTGGTGAGGCACAAGGCAGCTCTGGCGATGGATCACTGGAATTTGGTGCCCAAATGCAGGGAAGCCTCCCTGGGCTCACCTGGTAGCAATCAAATGGAGTGGTGCTAGTAATTATGGTCTGGGTTCAGGAGAAAATGGGAAAATTTAACATGGGCCAAGCAGCACCTGTAGCTTTCAGTAGTGAGGGGCGTAGACACCAGAGCAGAGGAGTAGGGAATATTTGGGAAATGGTGGTGGCAGGGGTAGTGCATCAGGATAAAAATGGATCAAAGGTGTTAAGGGCTCTGGAGACCATTAAAGGATTTACGAGGAGATATGACAAAATGGGATGGGAAGGAAAGATGGGACTTGCTGGAAGGAGTGATGCTGCAGCTGAGAGGAGCCGTGGCAGGACATGGTGATGCTCTTGCGCCTCTGCCACCCCCTAGGTGACCAAAGTCATCCTTAAGGAGATTGGCTTCGACCCAGCACTGCCTGCACAAATAGAAGTCTGTGTGCCAAACACATGGGGGCCCTGGGGGCTGCCTGGGGCTGTACCCAGGAGATCTGAAGGTACCAGCAGGCTTTTGACACAGCAATGAAGATCCCTTTACTTTAGAAAGCGATTGGAGGATGGACTGTGGGCTCTTATTAGATTATTATGGTGAGATTTTTGTGTCTGTAATACAGAAACCAGACAAAGGTGGTTATAAAGGGTGAAATGACAGATAGAAGCTTTGATGGAGGCAGATAAAGAATGATGGCAAGAACCACCCCAGGAGGTTGGTAGAAAACCCCACTGTGTAAAACCCATTGCACCAGCTGAACTAGTGGGACTTCCCAGTCCCCCGTACAAATACTCATATCCTAATGAAGCTGAGACTGCTCTGAGTGAAATCATTAAGGGTTATTTTAAACAAAGCCTTTCTGAGAAATTACAAACCCTTATAATTTTCTACTGCAGCCTGTTAGAAAGGCTGATGGAAAACCCTGGCAAATGCCAGTGGAGTACTGCCAAATAAATGCATTCCCCATGAGAACAGCTCGTAGTTTAGCAGACATGCCAGTGATTATTGCTAAGTTACCAGAAAACAAGTGGTTCCTGACATAGATCCAACCATTTCTTTGCCTTCCTGTTTACTGAAGAATTTGTTTTCAGATTTGCTTTTGCACTTGGAGAAAAGGAATAAACCCTTGCCCAGGTACTGCAGAGCTTCACAACACACCTGTGGGCACAGGCTCATGTCAGAAACCTGTTCAAACTATTGTCTCCAGGGGATAAAGAAAAAACATCTTGTGTGGATGATACTCCAGCGACTGGAGCTACTGAAGAGGCGAGAGGTGTCCAAGTTTTAAAATTAGTGAGATCAAACAGGTTTTGCAGTCAATTTGAAGTAGGCACCATTAGTGCAAGCTGAGGATAACTACTGGGAATTACAATTGGCAAGTCAGGAAGACCAATAGGTACAAGTGTGGTTAAAGCTTTGCATGGAAGAAAGGGGTTTTTTGTGGCCCATCCCAGCTGAGAACACTGTTAGAAGGATTTAATTTCTGACAGCAGCACATCCGTAACTGTGCTGGTATCTGCAGACTGTTGTGGGAATCATTGATTAAGACTCCAGAGTGGAAGTGGACTCAGGACATGATGATGCCCTAACTCAAGTGGAAAAAAGCTGCTCTAAAAGCCCCAGCACTAAAATGCCCAGCACAAGGAGAACACCTTTCAACAGGAATTTCAGTTCGAAGAGAGCAGAAAAGCACAGTGGGTACCAGCAGCATGTGAACTGTGTCTCCTTCAGGGGCTGGACACAAAAACTCCACAGCAGCCTGGGCTGGGCTGGTCTTTAGGGCTTCCACCCTCACAGTCCCACCTACTCACACCCCTCTCAGGTTTTAGGGAAATTCAGCAGCAGAGTATCATCTACATGAATCCCACCAGGCACTGATGTTAATGGATAGGAAGGTGCTGTACAAACCTTACAAGGAGCAGATTATCTTGCTCCTGCTCTAACCCAACAAGGTGCAGACTGCACTGTTGAGAACAAACTCAATTGTAATTATTGGGTCTGGGAGCAGGGGTTCTTTTTAAAGAACCTAGCAATAAACCAAAGGTACAGTTCATCGATGAGAGCACCAGATAGAAGCAAGCTAAAAATAGTCCTCTGCTGCTATTAATAGAGCAGAAGAGCAAGTAGTGGGGAAACCGTTAAAAAAAAAAAAATCACTCCAAATAGAGTACAGGCTATTATAGACATTACTAAGAGACAAACTCTCCAAGCGGAACCCATTGCATGTCTTTGTGGATAGTGATTATGTTAATAAAGAAATAAAATACTGGTGGTATGACTGGAGAAAGGGGGATAGGAAGCATGATGGAGAATAAAGAAAATGAGAATTTTCTTACAAGCTCAGAAAGACAGTGGGAAGAAAATATATGTAATGTGTGTTAAAGTACATGGGAAGCCTGAAAACAATACTGTGAAACTGTTTAATAAGCCAGATCATCAACCAGCTGAGTTCAACTGCTGCAGTCTCAAGCCACGGGAAGGTCTGCAGCATCCTTGCTGAGCTCGTGAAGACAACCCACTACTTGTGGATGACCAGCAGAGGTGGAGAACAGCTATCTGCAGGGCAGACGCTGGGTATTGAGGCAACTCCCCACACCTCAGCTGCCAGATTTTGCCCATCTGGAGCTGTATTTTTTTCACTTTAACCAGAGTAGCCAGTAATTCCTGCAATAGGATTTTTCATGATTAAATATCTAACCTATGGCCTGTTGTGGTCTTGTTTAGCTTGGTCTGACAACTTAAAGTAATAAAATAACTTGGGATCCAAGAATAAAAACTGTTACAGCTCTCAAGGGAGCCTGGAGAGTTACAGCTCTTGAGATCTGGATCCATCCAGGCTGGGGACTCACAGTTAAAGCACTGCAAAAATGCCCCAAAATTATAATAACCTAATGACCTTGGTGGGTTTATTTGCCTATAGGATCAGCCTTGCGGGACAACAATTAGCAGAGAAGCAGCTAGACATGATGAGAGACACTGAATCCTACAACAGCATGTAAATATAGGAGGAATTTGCAAAGGGGCTAGGAGAAGAAATCAAAAAAGAAGAAAAAAAAAGTGTTTGGAACAGATGGCAAATTAAACCCTAGCAGTATTTGATGAGATAAAGTCTGAAATATTAAAATATATATATATAAATTATATAAATATATCAAGTATAATCTTGCTGATGCTAAAGGCAGTTTACCTAACTGGAAGTTATATGGGGAGATGAAAATATGCCATCACTGTCAGGTTATGGCACTTTTTAAAGGATGAAGTCTTATAGAAATACTGTTCTGTACCTCTCAATACACCCTGCCATACAGTTAATTACACTTACATTTTTGCAAAATCATATTAATAATAATTGCAATATACTATAGAGCTAGAATGCTTATAAGTAAATATTATTATTGGAGAGCTCACTAATTATGTGAACTGTGAGTGAAAGTTAACAATACCATAAATAAATTTAGCATTGCCAGGAGGAGAGCATCAGAAAAGGCTCTGCTGGGTGAGGCTGGGGATCAGGCTGCGGAGTCTGCACTGGGTGGGCAGGGCTGGAACAGGGTGGGGGGATGCTCCAGAACTAGGGTGCACCTGGGGACTCATCAGGAGATGGAACCAGAGACAGGCTGAGGAAAAAAAACACAGCACAGGCTCAAGGTCCATGCAGAAGACAGGACCAGGAACAAGGCTACAATGCAGAGCTAAGATTGTTCCTAGAGTTCAGTCTAGAGAAGGGCTACCTACAGCAAGAGGATAAGGCGAGTGTGTGCCCAGAGCTGAGCTTACACATTACCAGGGGCCCTCAGAAGTGGGTGGGGAGGCTCCAGGTGAGGCTGGTTAGGGCTTTGAGGCTATTAATAGCCCCTCAGGCTTGTATTTTCTCTGTAAGGACTTTCTGTGCAGGCTATTAAGCTGGGCAGTGCTTCAGTTTGCTGCAGTAACTGTGAACCCACCTTGGCTGCTGTAGCAAGCCACTTCACCACAAGAAATGCCCTTTATCCTGCTTCCCTGGAAGTGCAGAGATAAGGAGAAATGGCTGCTACCCAAATGGCCTCAGGTTTTTGCTGCTGTGTAGCCTTTTCCTCCCTCTGCAGCCACGGGTGGGTTGGAACTGGGGCTTTAGGAAAGGAGAGAGCCTCTCTTGGGTGTTTCTGATGCCCGGGGATGAAATGAGTGTGAGCCTGTTCTGTGATTTTTCTCTTTTGCTTTTCATGCTCCAATTCATGAACAGGGTACCCGCGTGTTGGGTGGGAGGGGGTAAACCTGTGCTGAGGAGGAAATGGGAACTGAGGAGTTGGGATTGAGGCACAAGACAATTTTGCAGCTGAGGCTGCTGACTGCCTCCAGGTTGTGTGGGGCTGGCCTTTCAACCAGGCAGGATGGAAAAGAAAATGCTTTTGGGAGATATGTCTAGCAAAGCTGCTTTAGAGGGATGCTGAGAAAGGAGGGAAGGATGTTTTAAGGAACACTGGGAGTTTACGAAGGGGGGGAAAAATAGATTCCTTACTGCCAACATCTTGTTAGCCGATTGCAGATGGTGCAGTTACTGTGGTGAGGTTTGTGGGGTCCCTGCTGGGTGGCTCCTGCTGCAAGGGAATAGGACATTGAGGCAAGGAGCAGGGCAGAGCTACTGAGGAGGTGGTTAAACCCAAACAATGGCCATTTAGGGTTTCACAGACCCCAGAATGAGCCTGGCTCTGTGGCACCGCGGGCTGAGCTATATCCATCAAGCCCAATTTCCCTGCTCAGAGCCTGCCATTGTCCTGTCCCTCTGGCTTGCAGGACATCGAGTAAGTCTGGGAATAAATGTTTTTCTCTGAAAGCACAGGGCACATCATGTTCTTTCCTAAGGATGATGTTCCCCCTGAGCAGGACTTGCATGGGGCTTGCCAGGAGCCAGGGCTGCTCTTAGCCCTGCTAACTCATTCTGGGGTATGCTGAGAGGGAGGAAGGAAAACCAGCAGCACAGTTTCTAAAGGTTTTCCTCTCCATCTGACCTTGCAGAAGCTGTTTTCACCTTGCTGTGTCTTGATCTGAATTGCTGCTCGCTGTGCCTGTGCTGGCGCTCGGCTCTCCCAGGCTGTGTTACGGGTGATGTGACCCACTTGCAGCAGGGAACCTTCCTGTGCTCGGTGCCAGGGGATTTCTGGGTGCTGACATGCTCTGGGGCTGCTTTCTTGGCTTCTCCTTCTGTCTGCAATGGGAGGGGGTGAGGTTATTGGTTTTAAAGCTCCTTTCCTTTGCTTCCCTTTTTTTATGTTGCTAAAAATATTATTAAAATTCAAAATCTGAGGTATACAATACAGATTCAAAAAGTCTAAGGCATATAAATACATCATGTGGGGCTGTTTATCTCTGAAGCAGAGGCAGAATGTGTGAATGCAAGGAAATTGCAGCTGGAACCCCCTGGCCTCAGCTCATCCAGGCTCTGGGGACTGGAGCTTGTAATTTCTGCTTGCAGGAGGCTCCATTCCTCCTTCTGCTGCGCTGAGGGGATGCGCAGAGGCCGAGGATATTTCTGCTTGATGTAGAAGTGACAAAAAGGTTTTAAGACTTTTGTGTGCAGCTCCTGGGAGCAGCAGTCTGGGTGTGTCTCCTGCATTAAATCACAGATTTTTTCATGAGCTTTGGAGAAACTTTGCCCCTCTATGCTGCTGTCAATAGATCAGCAGATTTGGGAGCCATTAGAAAGGGGAAGCAGCTGCTTGCAGCCACTGAATGGTCTTGGCTGTGCCTGGCACAAGTCCCTAAAAGAGTGGGGAGGGCTGGCAGTGCTGAGTGTGTGACCAGACAGGCAGCAGAGGGGACATCAGCATCAGCCACAGCTAATCCTGTCTGTGCCAGCTTGTCTGAGCTGCTGGAGCTGAGGACTACAACAAGATAACCTTGCTCATCCCTGCTCCACGGGGGTGTTGGTAGCTGCATCCAAAACCAGCCCCTGGAAGCATGACCTTTCCTGGGAGATTTGGATTCCCGCATCCAGCCCACATGTTTTCGGCAGTTTCCTTCAAAACAGGCAGTATTGATTTTATTTTATAGGGGGACTTAAGCAGCCTGAGTATTTTTAAGCATATTGGCATAGGTGAGATGCACACCAGCTTGGCTCTTACAGGCAGCTTGGCAGAGCCAGGGAGGGTTGGGGAAGAAAATACTGATTTTTCTCTGGAGTTTCTGCTCTACTGCACAAAGTATGTTGGTGGCTGAGCTGTTGCGTGGCTGCTGTTTATGGGAGGGAAGAAAACACAGTGGCCACAGAAATAAAGTGAATTATTCTCCAAGTGGTTAAGCTGAAAAAGTTGGTTTCTCATGGATTTTGGAGTATAATCTCCTTAAGATGTTTACACTCTCTAAAAAGTGCATGAAGCTGGTCAGTGTGTGCCAGGTAACTGTATGGAGGAAAACAGGCAAGCATCACATAGCTCTTATTTCCTAAGAAAATTGGGCTAAAAGAGCTCTAGACAGTCCTAGGACCTGGCTGCAGTTTGGGGTATGAGCAAGATTTGTCCTGAGTGGTGTGAATTTGCTATCTGGGCCTGGCTGGAGGAGGCGAGGCTGTGACAGAGGGCTGTTTGCTTTTAACTGATGTGCTGAGAAGCACCAGTGCAGCTGAGGAGGAGGCTGTGTGTCTGGCACAGCCTGGCTGGATGTCTGACAATGCTCCGCAGCGGGACCTGGGCTGCGTGCCCAGCTCTGAGCCAGCCTTGGGCTGCCCCCAGTCCCTCACAGACCTTGCAGGACTTGTATGAGGGGTGTCAGACCCCGGCCTGCTGGGACAAGGAAGGCTCTGGGGAGAAGGGAAAAAGAGCTGACACAAAACTACCTCAAGGTGCAGCATTTTAGCTTTTTTGCTCTACTGTGCAGAGCTTCTCCTTGGCAAGACAGACTGCAGCCCCCTGACTCACTGCTGGGGGACTGTTACACCCAGAAATCCCCTATCCTTGTGGGGGGAGCCCCACACTCCTTTTTTTCTCTTGTCTACAATTTAATCAGGTTGACCCCCTCCCCAGTATGTTCCCCCCCATTTTGTGGCTATATTCACTGTAATCACTGCAAACCCAGGGAGGATTCAGAGAGGCGAGTGAGCTAAAGCAGAGAGGGGTTCAGTGCTGCAGGGACAGCCCTGCCCAGCCTCAAGTAACTGGGGACATGGAGATGCAGCTGGCCTGCCTTAACTGTCCTGCCAGCCCCCACTTGGCATCCTGTCCCAACCCTTCCTTCCGGATTGGAGCGCTGGCTCCCCCCCTCCCCCGCTCTCCATCTTCATGCAGTCTGCAGAGGTGCATTGTGGGAAACTCCCAAGTTTCCCCCCCCCCAACCATCCTCCCTCCCTCCTCTCTGCGCAAGAGCCAGCTCCCAAGGTGTGACTCGTGCAGTCGGCCAGAGGACAGAAGGTAAGGGCTGACGCTTTCCTCCGTGCAGGCCGGCACCTGGGGGGGCTTGGGGCAGAGCTGCCGGGGGTCCCCAGCCGTCGGTGGAGAGACGGGCAGCGTTTCTATTCGGGGTGACGTAGTGAGAGATGCAGATCTACCTGGTCAAGGTGAGTGTCCGCCGCCTTGCAGCTGCCTGGGATGGAGGCCGGGGGCTGCCATGCCAGCCGGCTCGGGAGTGTGTCCCCACGCAGCTCTCCCTGTTAATAGACAATAATGCTTTTTTTAACCCATAACAATAATCACAGTGAGGATGGCTGCCCCTGAGCAGCTCCCTTCTCACCCCAGCTCTCCTCGTCTGCTCCCTGAAGGTCAGGCAGCCAGAAAAGGCAGTTCCGCAAACGCAAGTGCGTGGGAGCCAGCCTGCTGCCTGCCTGCTGCCTCCACGTACCTGCGATCTCTTCCGCAAAGATCTCCTGCGCTGCTTTTGCGGGATGTGCTCTGCTTGCCTGCTCCGAGCTGGGCTGGCCCCTGCCAACAGCCACCCGGGCTTCAGTGAGGGGAAGGGAGAAGCCCTGGGCTGGAGACGGGGGTTTGATGCCGCAGGAGGGCTCTGAGGATGGGGGAGTGGAGCCGGCCATGTGCCGGAAACGGGGCAGCTGGGAGGGAGGAAGGGAGGCAGCATTCCCAGCTAAAACCGTCCAGCCTTGGCAGGAAAGCCTGTACACCTCCCTGAAAGGTTCTGATCGGGTTTCCAGCTGTGTTTTCTCTCCCATCTGCATGGGTGGTGGGATTTGTTTGGCCTTCGCTCTGCTTGTGTGGGTTTAATGACTGTTTAATCGCTGTCAATCCTGAGGCAGGCAGCAAGCCTGGCTAGGAACAGCCAGCAGCCCTGGTGCTCAGTCTTCACCTTTCCCAAGGAAGGAGCTGGGGGTTTTCTGCTAGGTGGGGGGGCTTTGATATCAAAGGGGTATCCTTTGATATGACCCCTGGCTTGTGCTGGAACAAAGCTCGCAAAGGGAAATCTGCCCAGAAAACACCAAAATGGAGAGAGATGACAGGCAACAGTGTCTATTTTAAGCTAGGGGAGAAGATAACACCAAATGAGCAGGAGGGAGGGGGACACCAGCCCAGGGCTCCTGTTTCAAGGTGTGTGCTTTCAGGGGTGAAATGCATGGGGGGGGAAACAGGGGGTGTTTTGGGATTTTCAGTCTGATGCCCCTGCCTCTCTGCGCATCTGTGTGCATCCATGACCTGTATGTTTGCAGAGACCTGTTGATCTGGTCCCTGCTCCTGCTTCGTTCTCTGTGATCATCTGGTAGCTTCTGGTGGGTTGGAGGTGGGAAGGAAGAGGATTTTTATTCTTGAATCAAGGTGAGCCTGGTAAAACTTTGGCATTGGGGTAAAAGGAGGAAGCCCTCCCCGTCGCAGTCCCGTTTTCCTGGGTGGGGCTTGGGCAGGATGCTGTCAGGAGAGGGAGGATGGACTATGCTGGATTGAGCTCGCTGTTCCATCTCAGGACTGACCTCCAAAAGTCTGACCTTCACAGGTTTGACCTTCAGCATTTTTCATCTTTCCTTTCTCAGCCACGGTGCTCAGCACCAGCCTCTAACCCCGTGATATTGTGGCAGGATGGGGAAAGAAAATCCAGAATTTCCCTAAATGCGGATGTTCCTCCCTCTGCATCCATCCTCTCTGCATCCATCCCCTCTGCTGGCAAGCTGCCAGGAACGGGGGGGTGGGGGCTGGTGAGCACCCTGGCATGCTCTCCCCATCCTTGGTCAGGCGTGGGGGCAGGCGGAGGGGATGGAGGGGAGGAATAGAACTCTCTGAGCAAGCTTTTCTGTGGCATCCTTCCCCGGATCCTTCCCAGCTTCCTGCAGGGAGGGAGGGATTGAGCACTCTGGTTTTGCCGCACAAGGTAAGCGATGGGCTTTACCCCAGAACATGCCCGGAGCCTCCTGGAAGGTCACTGCCTCGTGCCGAATTGGCCCCTCGTCTGCCTGCAGTGTCTTCTTACATTTCAGCTGCAAAGCAACAGTTTTCAGGCTGACGCCTGCAGATCTGTGGGCTGTCAGATTCGGAACCTGGCTCTGCACATGCAGAATTGCCTCTGTAATCTTTTTGCTGGCCACAGCTGAGCCACACAGGAGAGTGATGCTGTGAGAGCCTGGTGCAGTCCTGCTTTGGTCAGAAGGGATGGGTTAGTCAGGATGCCTGTAAGCTGTTAAATTTGCTGCTGCTTAGTGCAGTGGTTGGGTCTATTTTACTGTGCCAGAGCTGACACCCTCTCATCTTTTTTTGCTTGTGGCTATTGCATTTGAGAGATCCAGGACCTACTGATTGTGGGAAGGGGGCTTAAAAGCATTAATCTGTTACAAAGGACATCAGCTGCCTGCATCTGGGTACCAGCTTCTGGCTTCTTGGGGAGCAGCACCCCAAACTGGAAGCATTTATCCTCTTGGCTAAGGCAGTTAGTTTCCCAAGTGCTGGTGGGCTCAGTATAAAGAGCAGGGCTGTGGTGGAGTGAGTTCACCTTTCTCCAAGAGGCAGAGAGGACATCTGAAACACGTGCTGATCCTGCCACAGCATTATTCCTGAGGTGACATTGCAGACCCAACACTGAGCAGAGAACTGAGGCCTGCCCCACAGCCCCAGCCTGGGTGTTAGGATGGATGTTGTGGGGAATTGCTTATATAGTCCCTGGGGAGAACTGAGATTTTGGGGGTGGCAGTAACCTCCCTCCAGGAGCGAGCAGCTCTCTGGGAGAATGGCTGAGCAGAGCCAGAAGTGGTGCAGACCTGCAGGTGATGGAGGAGGGGGTGCCACTGATGCTGAGCTATGAAGCTGTGGTTGGAAGAGTGATAATTTTCAGTAGCAAGGCTGCAACAGGAGGCTGCTGGGCCAACTTCTGCTGGGGCTTTTGGGGCTCTGGTGTCCTGCCTTCTGATCTCACAGAGGTGCCAGCCTGTCCCCACGAAGGGATGTGCCACTTTTTGGTGCAGCAGCTTGTCCCCAGTGCCACAGAGCTGCTGGCATTGAATTGCTGGCTCTGGGAGGGCTGAAAAAGCAGTATAAAGAAACAAAATGAGTGTGTTTGCAAAATGCTGAGTGTGGCAAAAGTCAAGACATGAGGAGGTGCTGAGGGTGGGATGCAGGGGTGGCACAGCAGTCTGGAACACAGGATGCACCCCGATGTCTGCCCATGCCTGCCTGCCAGACGTCACACTTGTGGGTTAAGGCTCCATGGTTCCTATTGCTGGCGGTGCATCTTTCATTGTGTCTCCAGAATTGCTCCCTGTTGAAACTACTCCAGTGCTTCAGTCCAGTGTCTTGCCAAATAGCTGTCATGGAAAAAAAGTCATTGTGGCTGAAAATCCTTTCCTTTGTTCCCCTAAATTTCTGTTTTGGGGTGAGTGATGCTCAGCCCTGTCAGGGAGAGATTTAAGATCTAATACCTTATGATTTTTGAAGGGTAAAAGCTACAGTCTTGTTCCAGTACAAAAAATTGAACTATAAAGCAGAAAACCAACACTTGATTCTGAGGGGGGCTCAAACACAGGATTAAAGCTAGGACAGCACAGCAAAGTGAGGTTCTCTAAAATTTAGTTATGACAGACGCCCTTAGGCAGCTCGTGCACTGTCCTATGACCCTGAGAAGCTAGACTTTGCAGCAGAAGGGTATTTCCAGCAAAATCTCAGCAAAGTATGTTCAGATTCTCTCTAATTCTAGAAATAGCTTTGCTGTAAACTGTGGCTGAGAGTGCAGCTGATCCAGCTGCATCACGAGGGCTGGTGGCACTTGGGTGACCAGGCAGGTTCTATGGCCTTGCCAGGTGTGACTTCTGCTGACAGCAGGTCGGGTCCACATGAGTGTAACTTGGTACCCAACCCCATGGACGTCAGTCAGAGCATGTGGTTGGTCCCAGTGGAGAGTTTGAAACAATCTTCTATTTCCTGAGGCTGTTTTGATAACACTTTCCTGATTTCTGCCGTGTTTTGGGGCAGCTGTGAGCCGAGGCATGAGAAGGGGGTTTGTGTTGGTTTTGTGTCTGTGCCAGCACAGGGTGCCAGGCAGCGCGGAGTGCGAGTGATGAGTAACCCCTTTGGGACTGTGTGGTGAATACTCTGATGGAGGAGGGAAGGAGTGGGCTTAGTTGGGGTTTTTTTGGTAGCAGCTTGTATATTTTTAATAGAGTTGTGGGCATGAAGCTGAACTGAGATGCAAGTGCTTTTCAGCCTGTGTTGCTGCAGAGAAATGGCCAGGTTTGTGCCTGTGAGGTGCACTGGATGGAGATTTGCAGATGGTGCAGCAGGAAATGTGCAATGGGAGCTTGCTGTGGGTCTGCTGAAGGACAGGGTGAAGCAGCAACAAGCCATCCTTTCTTTGATGCTGCTGCAGTTTTAAGGGCAGAGTCAGGTTTACCATTTCTCATGGTTCTTATTGCTTTATTTTCTCACATAGGGTGAGAGTGTGTTTTTGCTATGTACATGGCTGTGTACAGGCAGAGTGCTTGAACAGTGTAGCTTAGAGCTGTGGTTTGGGTTTAAAAAACCCAAACCAACAAACAACCAAACAAAAAAAAGATCCACCAAAACTAAAGTCCCTGGCAGGAGTATGGTGTGTGTCTGTAATGTCGCCTCCCTCTCAGAATAAAATGTCTGCGACGTCTGTCCCGGTAAGATCTGTGGGGTCAGGACAAGTGTGGCTTGCAAATGTGATGCTTGGCTCAGATGCCATCTGCAGAGGTCATGGTGTAAAGGTAGCTGTTTAGCCTTTTTCTGGGCTCGTGCTGGTGGGGAGTGTGTCAGGGTTGGCTGTGGGGCTCTGAAATGCTGCGTCACCTGTGTAGGGAGCATGGCTGGGCTGTGGCAGGGCAGCTTTTGGAGAGGACACAGGCACCTGTGTTGCAAGCTGGGACTTTGCACCATCTCTGTGCAGTCAGTGGCCCACTGGGGTGCCCAGGGCCTGCATCCCCCAGCCGTTCCCTTTGCAGACACAAGGCAAAGCCAGTTTTGCTGGGCTACAGGAGCTCATCTTCTTCCCACACCTTGCCTTGGTGCCAGATGTAACCCAACCTCTGAACCCAGGCTAGGAGAGAGGTGACACATCTTAGTGGCACAGGGAGTGAAGGGAATGGTCCTGCAAGGCTGGCTGTGGTCTGGGGGGGATACTTGAAGTTTTGGTCATTGCCAGCACCAGCTGGATAGGCGATGAGAGCACTGGGTCTCAGTGCAACCGCAGGACTGACGCAGCCATGGAGCGGAGGCTTTGCTGGCAAACCTCCCCCTGTGGCAGCGATTCGAAGCTGCTGCTGCTGTTAAAATACTTTCAGCATCTGACGCTCTCCATGTCAAGATTCAAAGGGCTTGTTGGAGAGGGAGATGCTTAATCCAGGGCCCGGGGGGAGGGATGTGGGGAGTAGCAAACAACAGATTGGGAAAAGGATTCATAAATATCTCATCAGCGTGAAGTGGGTCAACAGTGTTTGCTGTAACTTGGTACTGCTGTCTCCAGGGCTTGGCTTTGGGAGGGCTGGGAAGCAGAGCAGTCTCCCTGTACAGCCTGGTCCTGGTGCACTGAGGCTGTTTGAAAGCATCTATGACAAGAGACTTCCGCTAGCGTTGTGCTTGCGTCGTGTTTTATCACATTTGCTGTGCATTGCGTCAGGAGTGGGGGGCCAAAATAGACCGTAAGGGAGCTAAAATCCTCCTTGGGGAGCTGCCTACAGCAGCTGAACGAAGACAAGCTCCTTATGTAAAGCTGGTTTAATATTTATGGTAATACTGAGAGGAACTGCATTACCTCATCTGTCTTCACAGTACTTGGAGATGGGGGAAAAGGCTTAGTCACACTACTCTGCCATCACTTATCTTAGGTGCTTGCCTGGCATCTCACTGCCTTTAATGTGTTCATTCCCCCAGCAGCTCAGAAAGGGGTTGTCGAGGCACTGGGAAACAAAATATGTTGCTCAGTTGCAGGAGGCAGCTGGGATGGGGATGGGGACTGAACACAAATCCTTCCAGCCC